CAGGCAGGGGATGGGGGCTAGCAGGGGTCCCTCCATGGTCTCCTGCCCCTCCTCCCCTGCTCCCTACTTACCAGCACGGAGTCCAGGTCCAGCTCCCTGCTGCAGCCAACAGGGACTGCCCGAATCACCGAAGCTCTCTGAATCATTTCTGAATCGATTTGGAGAGCTTTGAATTGATTCAGACATTTTAATTGGTCTCCTGATTCAATTTGGATTCGGACATTTGGCTGCTGAATCAGGCCAAAATCTCCTCCGAATCGAATCAGCACCCAAAGCTTCTCACAGCCCTACTATTCAGATATTTTTCAGCATGGTAAATAGTTACCAATTTCTTTAGCAGAATTATTAGGGGTTAGGCCAAGGGTACTGCATGGAAAAAGGCTTTTCAATATGCTGCAATATTTGCATCACACAAATTATATTGGTGAAGACTTTGATTTATACCCTTAACAGTGGGATCAGAGCTCAGTTTACTACTGTTAGGTGTAAGCATGGCTGTTGCTGGTAAGTGTCTGTCACACAATATAAGAAACTAATATCAAGTAAGAGAACTCTTGAGTTTCCTCTGAATTCTTGCATCAACTCAAGTAACAGGGATTTGACCCTACAGCCACCTACAATATCTACTGCTGTGAGGAATATTCCTTTTGAAGACTCCATTTTTGCAACCATCATTTGAATATTTGCGGTGTCCTGGAAAAAAAATACAGGAATGTATAATGCCCCAAAGCTATATGATAGCTGCCAGTTTGGGTTGGGGAATCCTCATAGCTGTATTAGGAGCTACATAAAAGCTTTATTTCAGTTCTTTAAATGGCTCTTATCAATATATGTTAATTATTAAGCTTGGAAAAGACATTGGAAGATTTGTGAACAGGGCTAGCCTATCCCTTTGCCTCTCTAGTTTCCAGGCTACAGTTACAATGCCTTTAGATTAATTTAGTAGTTAAAATGGTAGGAAGACGAGGTATAATGCCCTTTACTGAAATACAGAAATTAATTGCAGACATAAATTTGAGCTGTGTCTACAAAACCACTGTGAACTATTCTAGCCATCCATCCCCAACGCAAAGGAAAAATAAAGAGAAATTCCATAATCCTCTGGGGATCTTTAGTCAGTATTGGCCAAATCATTCCTAAATCAATGGTTTCAACACCAAAATAGGTTGTTGATGCCCTCCACATGGGGATCAGAACTTGTTCCCTACCGTTATGCTTAAGCATGACCATTTCTAGCAAGCCAGGTTCTAGTATAGGCTTTTATTCTTATGTAGAAAGGAGCCAAATAGGGGAGTGGGAATTCTGATCTTCCTTTGAGTCCTTCCATTGATTAACAGGTATTTGAGCCTTGAGGCCCATTCAGGATCAGGGACAATGGTCTATTTTAATACTAATGGAGAGAGGAACAACTGAACAAGAGTGAATCTGTTCTACAGCGAGTGCATCTGTACGTGCAATTAATCTGAAGCAATACATTCTGGAGCAGTTTCAGCCAGAGAAAACTACTCCTGGGTGCAGTATCTACACACGCGCTGGGTCAGCAGCAATTTGAGTTGGGGCGGAGTAGTTTGTCAGGGCTGGGGGCACAGGGTGGTTAGTCCTGGGCTCCAGCTCGTGGTGTCGGGCAGCAGAGGGGCTGGCTGGGGCACAAGGGTGCTGAAAGTGTGGAGCCATGTGGCTAGATAGCAGGAAGGAGTCTGGCCCCATGTTGGCTGGGCTAGGCTGATTGAGTGTAATCTATGCCTGGGGCCAGTGTCTACATGTGCGTTTAACTGCAGTCAGTTATCCTGCCATACCATAGTACTGTCGGGGAATCACAGCAGTGCTAATTAGTTGACTGAGATCTGATAGTGCCGCATGTGTAGACGGTTACTTTTTATTTCGCAGCTAATTAGTCTACTCTGCAGTTAAACACCCATGTAGACATGGCCACTGGCTCCTTCAAAGAATCAGAGTACTCCTGTTTCACTGAATTACAGTTCTCCAGGCTATACTTCTTACCCAAACAGGATGGTGTTTTCAATGCATCAATATACCTGATCAAATGTAAGGCTAAAAATCATAAAGTAGTAATTATTAATTATATTTATTAAAAAAAATCCCAAATGATATGACATTATATTACAAGCAAAGAATGAGAAATTAACTATAATCTAGACCCACTTTCTAAATAATGGAGAAAACTCCTGCTTGAAATAGAAGGGTTTATGGTGCCGTGGTTAGACAGGAAGCCAAGACTCTTGCCTTTACCAAGGCCTTTTTTAATGAATTGAGGCAAATCATTTTTATGGTGTCACAATTTACTCATCCTTAAAATAGATAAAATAATACAAGAGTGTTTGGAGTATTAAATAATGTTTTTAAAGTATCTTATGAGCCTTGGATGAAAGATGCTATGGAAGAATAAGCTATTGTGTTGATTGAAATAATGGCCTCATTCTGTTAAAAACTGAGTGAGAGAGAAAAATGATCTCTGAACAGTTTAAATTAAGTATTCCAGTATTTCCAATAATCCTCTAGTCCTTCAGTTATCTTGCTTTCTTTATTGAATGTGTTTTGAAGCTAGTAGTAAGACAGAGGAGAGCAATAGTAGAAATAATAAATGCATATGTTGGAGATAAAGATGTGGCACAGATGATAGATGTATAGATATGATTTCATTGAAGTGTGTACATATTATCCCTCGGTCTGCAGGTAAAACAGGAAATGAACAACAAATGCTATTAGGCAATGCTGATCTCCATTACATATAGCAGAGCTGTGAAGGCCGAGGCTGCTACATTACATTTTAGATGAAAAGTTCTGGATCAAAGGCATTTAGATGTTTCTGTACAGTTTTTCCAGTCAATTTAGTAGTATTTACAGGTTTTGTCATAAATAGTCCTGGAAATAATAGATTCTTTGTACTCTTTAGATAAATGTCAGGTATTTTCACTCGGTGATCACATTTATTAACATTCTCTTCTTTCCTCTTAGTTACAGAGAACACTACAAAGATGCTTGTGGAGAGAACCTTGACTGGTATTCATAATTGGCCAAATACAACAGTTGTCTACAATTAATGAGTTTCATCTGAATGGTAAGAGTGAGTCAGATTATACTGGAGTATAACAGCTTTGTGACTACATACACAGATGTGGCTTTAGACCTCTGGACATAACGGAGATATATGCTGGGCTATCAGCAGGGATCTGGGGTTTTTGTTCGCCATGGAAAAATGTGGAAAAGCTCAGGTTTTACCACTTTAAGGAGAAAAGCGCAGATTTTCTCCTTTAAAAGAGAAAAACGCTGGAAACAGCAAGTTTCCCCTTGCAGGCTGGCAGAGTTCCATGTACATGGCAGCCAGGCATCCTGGAGAGCAGTTCCTGCAGCCCCTGGCAGGTAAGTCGTGGTGGGGGAGGGGGAATTGAGGCCCCCATAATGAGGTGGGGAGTGAGTTGGGCAGGGCTGAGGCTTCAGCTGTGGCTGGGGGCTCTAGAAAGCCAGGGCAGTACATGGGGCTTGGGGTCCGGGGCGGGAATGCATGGCTGTAGGGCCTGGGTGGGGAGCAGAACAGCCATGGGTGGTTCATCCAGGGGGCAATGGAGGGGCTGGCTTCCTGCTGCTGCATGCATTCCTGGGGGAGGATATGGGGGGGCATGTGCCCCCCCAGATGTATGTGTGGAGTGGGGGTGGATGCTGGCTGATGGCTGTGGGTTTGGGGCTCCCTGCCCTACTGCTTTCCCCCCAGGGGCTTTCACAGCCTGGCAGGTAGGACCTGGCGCAGCAGGGCAGAGTCGGGCAGGGAGGCTTCGGGCTGCTACCAGGAGCCCCACGCCACCATAGCAAGGCACCTTCTGCCTGCCTCGCAACAGCAGGGGGCACAACTCTGCTCTGCCACCCCTGCTGCTGCCAGGTGGGCAGGGGGCTCCTCGCCATGGCGGTGCAGGGCTCCTGGTGGAAAAATCAAGCCCCACTCTGCCCTCCTGCACTGGGTCCCACCTGTTGGGCCATGGAGGCCCCGGGAGGAGGGCAGCAGGACAGGGAGCCCTGAGCCCACAGCTGCTTGTCTGCATCCGCCCCTCCATGGGCTGCGCTTCAGCCAGGCTGCCCGTGGGGGTGGTGGAGCCAGGCTCCGCACTCCGCTCGGGTCGCAGCAGTGCCACCTCCCACAGCTGGCAGCTGGGGCTTGGGCACTTCTGCGGGGGGCAGGGGGCTGTGGACCCGAGTCCCTGGCCCTGTAGCCCTGGCAGCTGGGGTCCGCTCAAGCAGGGCTGGTGGGGGGCCAGGGTGGTGCGGTGGAGAGGCTGTGGGTTGAGGAGTGAGAGGCACTGCCAGGGCCGGGGGGCTATGGGTTGCCAGTGAGGGGCACCAGTAAGGCTCAGGGGATGGGCAGTTATGGGTGGGAAGTGAGGGGCTGTGGGCCTGTGGGTGTGGAGTGAGGGGCACCAGCAGGGCTGGAGGGCTGTGGGTCAGGAGTGAGGGGCACTAGCACAGGCAGGGCACTGGCGTATTAGGGCTGCTCAGCGCCACCAAGCAGTGGGGTGGGGAGGGGGCAGCTGCATTGAGACTCATGTCCTGGAGAGCAAAGGGGGCAGAGGGAGCTCTAATTTTTCCATGAAAAAAGCCTGAAATCAAATGCCAAAATGTATAGGTATTTAGAATGTCTTTTATTATAGTGAGTGAAGCACTGGTAGGCTTCCAAATTGCTTTAAAATTGTAAATATATCAATAAAACATTGTGTTCAGCTGATTTCTATATATATAGTGGCATTTGTTTTTAAACGCAGAAAAACATGGATTTGGGGTTTTTAAATCAGAGAATCTGCAAATTTATATCAGAGAATTTGTGAGTTTTAAACAGAGAAAACAAGCATCCCTGGCTGTCAGTCATGTCATAATATGGAGAGAAAGCAGGAGCCATACAGGGCCCTGGTGGCTTCTCCTTCCTTTGAAACAACAGGAGCCATGCAGCTAAATCCACAGTGCAGCATTAGGAAAATGCATCCTGCCTTCTGCCCTCTGGGGTACACGGTGCCCAGAAATACAAAATCTGCTTAGCCTTTTTGCTTAATTCACAAATGGACAGACTTAAAATCAATTGGAAGAAATTAGGCCAGATGTTGAGTGCTTTCCTCACCTGAAGGAAAAAAAAATGTATATCTTTTTGGCTATGTTGACTGGAGAGTGTTATTGATCTTATAAAATGGGTTTTTAAATCTTTAATAACATTCTCATATTTTAAATGTTATTTCCAAGGTATCCTTCCACTACTACAGGGAGTTGTCGGCAGAAGGGTAAAACCTAATAATAGGAAGCAAAAGTAAGAGGAGCTGTCTGTGTCCTAAAGAAGGATATATGGAAAAATCAAAAGGCACATGGGGGTTGTCCATATTTATCCAAGTACAAAATATAGGAATGCACACTCATTTCAGGTGTGCAGACTAGGTTCCTAGTCTGCTGAATGTGAGAACCATCACATCTGCTGAGAGCCAGCCTGAGACCTGGATACTATTTAAGTCTGACCAAAGCCATCAAAATAACTTCCTAGGCTTTTTGCTGGTGCCCTGGACTGGAGTGAACTTCACACCCTCATAGTTTCTCTGCCCCATTTATTCCCAAATGGGAAGTTAAAAATAGTACTGTCATGGCAGATGAGTGGTAAGCAGGTTGATCTGCACTGGATGCACATGCCATGCCCGATGCTCTCCTCCGTGCTGAACTCAAGATGAAAGCATACAGAAGTGTGCAGCCTCTGGCCCCCTCCTTAAGTCTTAAGTTCTCATGTAAGGGCTGCAGTTACCCTACATTAATGTTAGAGAGCATAGGAAATCCAGAAACTTTTCTTCTGGAGGCATGAAATGGAAAAGATTGAAAGTAACTGTGTTAGAGGGTGGGATATCCCATTAAGGGGGATTAATTTGTGACTCATAGCAATCTCCCAAGTAACTAAATGGTAAAGATTCATGTAGGGTGCAAGGTAGCACTATGCTAATACTTGCACTGATACTTCTGCACCTACTACCTTCCCTTAGGGTGGTATTGTGCAGAGACCAGCACTCTGCATTATAGCTTGCACAGCTGCCCTGCAGCAGTATCACTGCACTTAAAGTAGACTAGCTACACCTCCCCTTATACCCCTGATGTGGAACCTGGACACACTGAGGGCACCTGACCCTAGTAGTTCCCTCCTACTAATCCAGTATATTCTAGGCTATGCAACTGGCTTCAGCATCTGCAAATATAACCAAAAGGTGGGGTCTGGTCCACAGTATGTTGTTGATTAGTGAAGTTTGTGCGTTGTGTTGGAATCCTCCTCGGTTTAAGGCACTTCAGGTCTGATCCTGCACCATTGAAGTCAATGGAAGTTTTCTCCTGGGCATAAGGCCAAGGCCCATATGCCAGTGTCTGCAATTATCACTGTGTTGGGGAAAACTGGACTGTAATATTTCTATGCATTGTGTTGTCACTGTCCAAAAGAATCACCCCATAAACCAGCATAAAGAGGATTTGTACTAACGGTAAAGAGCACTTAGCTCATGCTAAACAAGCATTACATTAAACAGGTCGAGGTGCTCAGATGTATGTTTTAGAACCAGCTAAAAAGCTTCCTGGATTACTTCCATCATTAACAGAGAAATAAGGAAATCTGTCATATCAAACCATGTGCATTCTCCCCCTCCCCCTCCTATGTGTTAAGTGATTATGGTATACTGTCATATTCTTGAGTGTTGATCAATGAAAGCCCTCCCCACCCCTTTTCATGAATAGGGCAATTCAGTTTTTATTTGTTCTGTCTCATTCTCATCATACAAAACAAAACATATTTGATTGTTACTTGAAAGGGACTATCTTCCATATGTCAGATGTGCTTAGTTTGATAGTATTTCTTGGGATAAAAAAGCCTTTTCGATTCTAGAACAGAAAACATTTCCCCATCAAATACTGCATTAGTTGCGAGATCTGCATTGTTTAATCACTTAAACATTGAAGTTATCTTCCTTTCGTTATTAAACACTTGGAACAAAGCAACTTCGGCTATTGAGCCTGCTGTTTCATGGGAGTACGGGTACCCCGACCGAAAACAAAGAGGTGAGTAGAAACAAATAGAGGCCAAGTAGACGATTCTGGTGAAGCAACTTGAATTTTTATTAGCGTTATGCGCCGAGTTTGGAAGGCTTATGAAAACTGATAGCTAGGGGCCACCAAAGCTTTCCTACCCAACAAGGGGTTCTAGATTGACATAGTAATTACGGACATTGGTGATGAGTAGGGGGTACATGCGGGTGCGTGTGCACCCCCTGAGATTGGCCATGAACCCCCTGAAAACACTAGCTGTGAAACCAGAAGTATGCTTCTGGTTTCGCCGCTGGCTCGGTGACTGACCAACCAAGACCCCACCCCGGTTGGTAATCAGCCATTGGGGGACCCCTCCATTGGTGATCTGATGCTCCCCCAGACTTGGGAGGCACCGGTCACCCATGATTATGGAGCCGGCCAAGTGGACTGGAGGAGCCATATATCAATTATATAGAAGCAAACAATAAGCTGTCCTGTCTCCGACAGTGGCCAGCACCAGATGCTACAGTGGAAGATGTAAGAAGCCCACAGTCACCAGATAGTCTATCCTTCACCCTTGTCTTCTATATGATGCCTAATATCCTGTTCAAAATGGCATTAGTTATTTTCCATTAAAATAGCTTAGCAAAACTGTTGAGAATACAGAGGGTTTCCAAGAGCACAGGGCAAGCAAGAAAGGAAACAAGAAGTTAAAGGGCTAAAAAGAGCTGGAAAAATAAGAAGTTGTTTGTGGAAGGCAATGTCTATTATGTGTTTGTGCAGCGCCTAGCACATTGGGCCATGACTGAGGTTTCCAGGGGATACTGCAGTACAAATTAATAGAATAATATATTCATACTATAACCAAGAAGGAAAGAAACAGGGAGAAAATCTTGAAATCTCTACTCACTCTTCAGGAAGCTACAAACAGGTAGAGAAAAGGACTTACTAATAATATTGATTCATAATAATGACTGAAACATCCAAAGATTTCACATAGACTGTAGGAACAAACTGCAGTGTTAGCTTCTGAAAGGGGACTCTCCAAGAGAGAGCCTGTGTGGGTGTACGCGCGCACACATGCACACTCGCATATATATATATTCACGTGGCTGCAAAAAGAAAGAGAAGCCAAAACAAAATCCAGCAATAACAAAGAAGCACCAAATAAGTTCAGAATAATATAATGCCACAGGAGCTGTGTTCATGACATCTTCACCTGCAGTAAGTGGAGACTAGCTGGCGATGCATAAAAGTCCTAGAAACAGGCCTGTAGTCAGTGTAGAACCACAGACACATCTGAAAGGATGAAAAAGGCATCAGTTTAAAACACACAGGCCCACATTCCCCTGTCACTTACCCAGTATGTGACTTGAATTAACAGCTTACTTCTCACCCCTAACATGCTCATATTTTATTGAAAAGGCAATACTATTACACAGGAAGAGTGAGTGCCATATCAAGCAATAGAAATAATACACAAAAGCACAGGAGAGGCCTGAGATGCATATATAGAATTGAAGATAAAATACAACCGTATCAAAAGCACTGTATTAAAAATAAAGTAGGCCTGATTCTCACTTGCATTAAAGCCTGTTTACACCTCTCTGATAGAGTAATGGGCCCATAAAGTGTGTGCCACTGTAATTACTCCCTTTTTAAGAGTCCATCAAGCTTCCAGAATGGGGTGAGGGGGAATCAGGCCTGGTGTGGAGAACAGTGACTGCATCACCCCGTTTTAAATTCATCCTAAAAATTCAAGCAGAAATGGGCTGGGGAATCTCACAGCTCTATCAAAGATGTGCAGATTTCTCCAGTTAGTTCTGCCTACCTCTTTAATTGCACTGGGTTTGCTTCTTTGCCTCCTTGTTCCTTGTGCAATTATAGATCCTGTGTACATTGGGCATAAAATACTTGTATTTCACGCTCACTTTGTTCAGATGTGACCCCTCAAAGTAAGTGAGGTATATTGGCTCTGATTGGATTATACAAAATATGAATCAATTTACAGAAAAGTCACAGATCCTAGCAGGGGAGCTCAGCAACCTATCAGTTAAAAGGCTAAAAGACACCCCAGAAGCTTACATTAAACCTTATTGTCCTGCAACATTTCTGGAGCTGACCTCCACCCTCACTCCACCATCCATGTGACTGAGAACAGAACTAGGCACCAAAGACATAAATTAAGTTTTCCTTGTATTGTTCTTACATGTATATGCTTATCTTCACCTGCTTTGTCATCACCTGACATTTAAGTTCCCAGATCATTTGAATTTTGCAGCATTTTACACCCAAATTCTGCCAGAAAGGGTTATGGTTGGACCATTTCTCTTACAGTATCTTTTGGAGGTCTTACGCTCAAATTGTCCATAAGAATGCCATTTCACATGCTGAGGCTGAAAGATGGCTTTGCCTCACAGGCTAAATCTCAAAATTTGCAGAAAGATACAACTACAGCGAGTTTCAGGCTTTTTTTTTCCCCAAGCATTTTCTGCATTTTAATCATTGCTGATTCTAGTAATAATCCTTCATAGTTCCAACATTAAATCTGGCTCCTGGCAGGTTTGCCATTGGAGATTTGGTGTACCAGGGCTGATCTTTTTTTTTTTTTTTTGGTAGAAAATACATTGTTCTCATTTTGAAACAGGAGTTATGGGTGCACGTTTGTGTCTCCAAAGCCAGGAGACAAGCCAGTGGCTACCATGTCAATCAATTCATCTGGTGAAGGTGTTGGCAATGGAGGCTGCTTTCATAAGAGATCTCTTTGTGCATTTCCCATATGGAGTAAAAAGTCGGCCTCCTGTGGCAGCCCTTCTTCTGCATCAAAAGCTTCAGATCCCACACGGAGCATAGTTTCCATTGACATAATAAGTGCATGGCCGTCTCAGAAAGCTACATTAAACATCAGAAGCTCTCTGCTAGGACTGGCTTAGGTCACAGGAGCTAGGGATGTAACAAAGGTTTCCAACGAGGAAACTGAAAAGCAAATGGGAGAAATGACCTTTCAAGTTTTTCCTTTTGGCAGTTCCATTTCCACACAAAAATGAAGATGAGGGTCAGATCTGTGCAGTGTTTCACAACTCCTAGAGCTAATGTCGGAAAAGTCACGAATGATACAGGCCTACTATAGGGGAGCGTGTAATGGTGCGCTCGGGTAAATTGCTCCTGCTGCCTCTCTATGGCTTAATGAAAGCCAATCCTCCACTGCTGATAAAATCCACTAAACACCAGCCAGCTGCTTTACTCAAGGCCCCGCCAGCTCGAAATCTCTCTCTCTTTCTCTCCTCTTAATAGTCAAACAACAGGGTTTCTCACAGAGGGTCTTACATTTATTGGACTGGCTTTTGCAGACGGCTGCTTATTGCCCTGTTTGTGAAATGTCCACGAAATACAACAACAAGGATGTTTCCTGGGAGCTGATTATATTTTCTTGTATTTAACAGAAGTGAGCCAATGAATTGTCCCTTTGCTGGGTAGGATTGATGGGGAGGGACATGAGTATGCCTTCCAGGGCTTCTCACTCCGATGTGGGGAGATGCTGTTGCTTCACCTGTGCAACATGGAGGATCGGGCCGAGGGCTCTACGTTAGAACTGACCTCACGCATGACTGTCCCCGTCCCATCGATTTGGATCCTGTTGTCAGAGGATCCTACCTTAGGGTTTCAAATTCCGGAGTTCACTAAGTGAAATACTCCAGATACAACCACATCCGAGGACCAGACTTCCAGGCCAAAATAGCTGTTTTTGGAAATAGTTTTACCTAATTCTGTCCCATGTTTCCAGTGCATTTAGCCTCAATCACTGCCACGCCAAGACACGTTCACTAAGTGCTCCCGTTGCCTGCTGAATCAGGACCTGAGGCTGAACGAATTTTAAATGGAAACATAACCTCGCCACATCCACGCAGGGACGTTAGAGAGAGGAATTTTCATTATTGTATGTTCATTCAGAAAATGCAGTTAGGAGCAACGTCCTTCCCATTAGTGAAAAGACTGCAGGATAATCCCTGATAAGAAATGCCCTCCAAGGCAGCTTTTGGTATGAGCTTAATTTGAAAAGAGGGGTTTCACATTATGGAGCGAAATGAGGAATGCATTTTCTTAACAAGAAAAGACAAATTGAAACACATGCTGCTGAAAGATCTGAACTTTATACAGTGCCAGTCTTCAGCAATCCTGCCTTGTTAAAAATGTATTAGGTGATTGTGGTGTCTTAAAAACCAAAAGGCTAATGCAGTGTCCAAATGAGATACAATAAGAACAAGAGTAGCTACTCAGGAGTTCAGTGCTTTCAGAGGGAAAAAAAGAGAAAGGGAGAAAATCAAACCACTGCTTCCATCTTTGCTGGAGAGAGAGAATGATGCTATGATCTCTGACCTTTTATTAACAAGCTAGTCACATCCAAAGGACAGTGATTCATTTCAGGCCACCTTATCTGCATTTGAACAGACTCACCCCCGAGGCATTCCTTTGTCATATACTGTAAGTACAGATGGCAATAGATTCCACCTTCTAGTGGAAACAGGTTTACAAATTTAGAACTGCTATTTTATCCCATTTGCAATATGAAACAATTGTTAATGAGATTTCGAAAGTTATAGCTAAACCCAGCTCAACTTTTGTAATCACGCATATGTAGACCTTGCTAACTAATACCTATTGTCATAATGAAAGTCTCAAGAGACTAAAAGATGTCATCTTTGAATTATGAATTGATAAAAGGAACACGGTGCAGTATTTGAAGGTGATACGAAGGCCGAAATTTCCCTTCTGCCAAAGACAGAACAGAATGACTTCATTGATCTTACCACTTATGTATTGCAGTTCCGTTTGAGAAAAAAAAAATTTACTTTGTTATCAACTATTATCCAGCTTACACATGGGTAAAAATAATCCTTTTCATCCATGACAGGTAAACACATCATTCATATTGCTCTGTCAGGGAAAACTCAATATGCCCTTATCAAGAATAATGTTTAAGGAGCAATACTTCTCTCTGCATTTTGTACTAATTAAGTAATTTAATGAAGGAGGCTTAAGGATCTGTGGATTACAGAAAACAGAAGTAATCAACAGGCACAGACACCGTTAATTAAAAGAAAAGATCCTCATGAAATTATTAGAATTAATGTAAAACAATGTTTCCTATGAAAATGCAATGTGGTGGCAGAGTAGCTAAGTTGTCTTTTTACAACTCCAGGGGCATAATCTCCAGATTTAGGCTGCTGCTGCTCCCAGCTGTAAATGGGTTCTTGGCCATCTCTGCTGGGAAGTCAGAGACAGCTGGATGTGCATCACTTGCTTGCATGCCATTGGCTGTGGAAGCTGAACCATGCTGACCGGATGGGCCTTCTAGGCACAGGTAGGCCACATCCAACTGCCTGTTCCTTATAACAATTACAAATACTTATGCCTGGTTAGGCAGGGAATTACAGGAAAGTGTTGATCTCAAAAACAAAAAGGGTTGGATTTGTTTTGTGGAAAAATAAAAGTCATTAGCAAATATTGTCTGCTTCTCAGTTCATTTGCTATACACAATACAATCAGCTAGATTCCCCGAGCCAGCTTCCTTTGGGGAGAAACTCTTCTTAAGCTGAATTTAAGTGAGGCTCGAGACTTATACTGACCCATTGCACAGGGATGAAGTTCTCCCTGTGGCATGAAATCCAGTTTGAATCCTTGGGAGTTAGAATGTCAGATCTACTCAGGTCAATGGAATTAGTCCCAAGGATGAATGGACTCTAAGGTGGATAGAAAACTGGCTGGAACATCAGCCTCGGAGAATAGCAATCAATGGCTTGATGTCTAGGTGGCAGCTGGTATCAAGTGGAGTTCCCACGGGTCAGTCCTGGGGCTGGTTTTATTCAATGTCTTCATCAATGACCTGAAAGGTTGCATAGAGTGCACCCTCAGTTTGCAGATGGCACCAAGCTGGGGGAGGGAAGGGCTAGGACCTAGACAAATTAGATGATTGGGCCAAAAAGAACTGTATGAGGTTCAACAAGGACAAAGTCCCGCACTTAGGACTGACCAATCCCATGCACCGGTACAGGCTGGGGGCTGACTGGCTGGGCAGCAGCACTGCAGAAAAGCACCTGGAGGTTACAGTGGACAAGAAGCTGAATATGAGCTAGCAGTGTGCCCTTGTTGTAAAGAAGGCTAATGGCATACTGGGCTGCATTGGTAGGAGTGTTGCCAGTAGGTCAATGGAAGTGATTATTCCCTTCTATTCAGCACTAGTGAGGCCACATCTGGAGTACTGTGTTCAGTTTTGGGCCCCCACCTCCCCACTACAGAAAGTGTGTGGATAAATTGGAGACAGTCCAGCAGAGGACGACAAAAATGGTTCAGGGGATGGTGGGCATGACTTATGAGGAGAGGCTGAGAGAACTGGGCTTATTTAGTCTAGAGAAGAGGAGACTGAGAGGGGAATTAATAGCAGCCTTCAACTATCTGGAAGTGGGTTCCAAAGAGGATGGAGCTGGACTGTTCTCAGAGGTGACAGATGACAGAACAAGGAGCAATGGGCTCAGGTTGCAGCAAGGGAAGTCTAGGTTAGATATTAGGAAGAATTTTCTCACTAGGAGGGTAGTAAAACACTGGAACAGGTTACCCAGAGAGGTGGGGGAGCTCCATCCTTGGAGGTTTTCAAAACAAGGGTAGACAAAGCTTTGGCTGGGATGATCCAGTTGGGGATGGTCCTGCTTTGAGCAGGAGGTTGGACCAGATGATCTCCTGAGGTCCCTTCCAACCCTCACTTTCTATGATTTAATGATTCTCTGAATTTATGTTGCATGGTTGGATCTATGTTTTCTACTTATGTTGAATTAGGAATACATGCAACCAGTGATACAATTTATGAATATCCATTAGGACTAATACATGAAGAAAACCTGACTGTTGAATGTTATTTATTATTCAGGTAGACTTTGATTCTTTGCAACAGTTATGCAAGTATTTTACTTTCAGTATATGAATAACCCCATCCACATTCAACAAATGACTTAAGCTTGTGTTTTAAGTTTTCTTAGGTTTCATTGGCTTTAATTAGACTTAAAGGTATATTTAGGTGCTTTGCTAAAGTGGAGCTTAAATACTGTCACTCCTTGGACCCAAATAATAACAAACTTGAGAAAACCAGGTCTTCAGGAACTAAGAGCAAGTTCAGATATTTGAATTTTGAAGACATCTTTGCTATCTTCCAGCTATTAGATGTTCAAGATACCATGGTGATTAGTCAGAGGTAGGAATCTGAATAGAACAAACCATTCGTGAACACCTCGGCATGTTTTAATTTTAATTTTCACCTTTCCAAAAAATGGATTCAGTACTTGCCTCAGGAACTCAACTATTGGGTCTGTTTGTATGTCTACCTTAATAAGACTAATAAGGTATGAAATGCATCTCCCCAAACCTCATTTTTCTTACTCGAATTCCCCAAGCACTTGTCAGAATATACTCTAGTACATACCACATTTCCAACACCTGTTAGACACATTCTCTGAGAATTTTTGCCAAGGCGCATAGACTAATGCAACATCTGTGAAACATTTCAAAATTGGCAAGCTTAATTTTTACTGTCTTCAGTATGTATAATGTTTTTTAGCCGTTGTGTTTTGATGACTCACATTTTTCATACCGGAGGGCTGGATTTGCCAGGTAACAGAGTTCTGTTTGTGCGATATAAGCGGTCGTTAATGCATAGCCAATTTAAAGGGGCTAGAGAGCTGTATTTGAGGATGCCCATTGTGTAGGGAGCGTATCTGCTGATAGAGGTGATTCTGCTGCCCTTTTGCCAATGTATCACAAAACCCTGTCCTCTCCTGTGCCAGAGCTCTTGCTCTCAGCACGCTCCAAGGTGTATCTGGGGCAGCTCTGGGCTTCACTTATGGTTTTTGATCCATGGAAACTTTTTTCACTCTTCTGATTTTGTGATCTGATTTGGGGGCTAACTGTGTACCTTTTGATTGTGAGAGTAGTTCTCACTCCCAAAGTTGGTCCAGATGCACTCGGTGGTGCCCTACTGGATCTTCAAACCCTTCAGTACTTTTACGTGTGTGCATAAGAAACTATTCTTGTGAATGAAGTTTTAGTTTTATGGTTTATAACAGGGGGCCTGCTGTTTCTGGCCTGGTTGAAGCCTTGCCAGTTCATACAAGCTGAGTCCTGTGCACCAAATTACACCTAGGAAAAAGTCTACTTTGATCTATAAAATCTCCACAATTTCTCTTCTGGAATAAATCCCACTGTGCATCTACATGTGCATTTAAGTGCAACTAAATTTAATGCATATTAAGCTAATGTGCATTAAGCAATTTTTGGCAGCTCTGCCATATGGCCCTAGTGGCTGGTCAGACTTGGCACTAAAGTTAGTGCCAGGTTGAGTCTACACATGTGTTAATGCGTTTTAACTAATTGCTCCTAAATCTGATACCTGCATTTGCAGGTATCAAATTTAGGTGTGATTAACCTAATTTTACCATTTCAACGCACATTAAGGAAGCACATGTGTAGATGCATTCCCATAATGCGCATTAAGTTAGGCTAATGCACATTAACTTGTCTCATGTAGACACCCCCAAAGTCTATTAGAACCCAGTACATTTTAGCTGACATCACTATCTGGTGCATCCAGGAAAAATAGTTAAACTCTTTATTCTAGTAAGAGGCATGCTTTGTTTGCCTAGCAGATAATTAATTTTTGGAACAATGTCTAATTAGTTGTGCTAGTTTATTAGAAACTGTGAAAAGATATCAGAAAGCTTCTCAAGAAAGATAAACCTGGAGTATCGAAGGCTATCCAGGAGAAGATAAAGCAAAATCTCCGTGGCTTATCTTTATGAGACAAAATGTTTTCATTCAATTCGCTCTACACGCCCAATTTCAATACAGTATTGTGGTATTAGACACAGTGCCACTAACAAAGAATATGTCCTAACGATCACAAGGCGTGTGAATATTATCTTTTCTGTAGTTTGGAAAATATTGATTAAGTAGGTGGCCATGGTAACTTTTCTGTGAGATATGATAATAAG